TTCTATATACTGTATACTGATGCAAAGGGTGACTTGAATGTGAAGGGCAAGGAGAAATCTTTAGACTATACTGAGGTAGGTGACAGACAGGTAAACATTAGAAGCTGAGAAAGGACAGGGTAAAAACTAGGGCTGCAGCTAACAATTATTTTCATAATCGATTAGTTGCCCCATTATTTTTTCAACTAATCGATTGGTTGCATTAAAAATATCTCTCTCTCTCTCTATCCCCTCCCCCCCAACCAACTAACCGGTAATGAGAATAGTTGCCAACTATTCTCACAATCGATTATTATCAATTTAATCGATTAGTTGTTGCAGCCCTAGTAAAAACCAAAGATGATACAAGTCAATAAATATATTATAGATACAAAAAAGAAAGAGGAGATTTTTATAGTGAAGCTTTATGCTCAAAAGTCCTGCAATGATATGCAACTTAAATGTAAATGCTAACACACAAACTCCCCTTGCTATGAACAATTAAAATATATTATAGAACAGAATAATGATCTTCTCTAGGACCAACAGGATCCTTCTGCTCAAGCCCTAAGCAGTGTTACCACATGCCATTTTTGACACCAAATTTTCCCACTGTTCTCTATTTGACCCAGCAGAAGATATAGAATCACACCTAGTAACAGAGCTTCTGATTCAAGGGGTAAGACACCAGTGTGAGAGACAGCTGGAGGACCAATACCTGCCCACGGTAGGTGTGTGGGAGCCCCTGGTTTGAGGCTGTGCAGTGTTCCAGTTGACTAAACTGATCATGGTTTGTTGCAACATACCAAGATTTTAAAATGTCATTTTCAGTTCTACAGTCTTTTCATTTTGTATTACTCTAGACTCCTTTTAGGTTAAATCAGATACAGATGCAAATAAAGGTAACCACATTATGGATTACCTGTGAGGACTCCCAATGTGAGGTAGAGATACTCCAGGCTTGTAGCAAAGGAACTCAAGACAAGTCCTGTGGATGCAAGAAGTCCACCAAGTATGATTCCCACTTGACAAGAGACATGGTTACTCACATAACTTCCAAGAGGGGCTACAAAAAAAGGGAATGGATCATTATATGGTTTGTAAGACAAATTTACAGCGCATTATAGGCAACCAAGACCAGTGGGGAATTAAATGATCAAATGACCATATGACTTTCCTTTTAAGCAATATACTTATAGATTTGGAAGCGCAACAGTTGGCTATCTTCATTATTGGATGCACACTGTGCTGTATTAATACAGTAGATCCTTGGTCTGGCTTACTGTACAAAATCTAGTTGAATGTTCAAATATGTATTATTCTAGTTGCATGTTTAGAATAACAAGGTCTTTGCCTTAGGTTACTTACCACACAACATAGTGGCACAATCAACAATGGAATGTATCCAAGCCGTTCTTGAGTAATCTTGACCAAAATATATTTGGAACTCAACAAAGAATATTGAGATGCATCTATAAAATATAAGAGATAGGCACTAAATTGGTCATCAAATCCCAATGTACATGAGCTTTAAGAAAGAGAAACCTACATACCTTGTAACGGCCCTTGTGCAAACTGTGACAAGAAAGCAGCCAACCACAATCATCCACCCCCAGCCACCATCAGGTGGTGTTGTGTGCAAAGTCTTCTTATTCATCATGGCTGCCATCCTCAGGCTAATCGTCAATCTACTGGTGCTACCTGAGCGAGGTATATAATTTTGTAGAGGGACGTTGTCCACATAAGATTATATCCAGATACAAACAGATTTCCAGCGACATGCGGAATGTTCCACGGAGTTCACTTTTTTATGAAAGATTTTATTCACCATCTGTAAGAGTAATATTAGAATTAGATATAATTACTGATACTGGTCCAATTCCATAATTCTAAACATTTTACACATGACTAAATTTGTATAGAGGTGGCTAAAGTAGTCCTTAAACTGCATAGCTAGTAGTAGTTATATCCAATTGGATTCTGCAATGCTGATTAAGCCATTTTGCTGCTTATCCAAGCACCATCATTTGGATAAGGAGGAAAATATCTTCAATATTACAGAACCCGTCCAGTTGAAAGTGCCTAACTACTACTAGCTATAGCATGATCTAGATAAGTGAAAGCCTTCGTAGCTCTAGCACTACATGTTTATCAGCCCTCTTAATTCAAAAGTAAAATAGATTGCTTCCTTTAGGAGGTTATCTATAAACCAATTTCTGTTCCAATTTGGACATCCTAAAAACGTCAGGAAATTCTGCCATGATTCATTAGGGAATGGTAAAGGGAGTAGCTGTAACATCACAGTAAAAAGAAGGAAAGCTTAGAGAGATAACCATCATAGATTTATGTGATGTGCACTTTGCACATGTATGAAATGTCAACGTTGTAAATGGTATTTACACTACTGACAGCTGAAGGCTGCCATAGCAGAGCTTTTCATGACTGCAGATATATAGTATACAAATTGTCATACACCACTTCCTATATGTCTGTAGGCTGTCTACAGCAAAAGAATTGTGAACTATACTCATACAAAGGAGCTTAGTTAGTGCTACAATTTAGTTTAGGGAAAATATTAAAGTAGTTTTATACTCTCACACTTTTTTCAATAATGAATTCAGTTCAATCACATATACATTGCCCAGCAAAATATTTCTTTACATTTTTGCCCAAGAACTTAAAGTCATGTTTTCAAACAGCTCTAACTTTCTCAGCTCCACTTTCCTGAACATCCTGTCCAGTACAAAATCACAAGGGACAGCGCTGTCTCCAGCAGCCGACCATCTACTAGCTTGACGAAAGGGGAGAGAGGAGCAGGAGAGCGGCTTGCCTTGCTGTGACCGTGCACATATGGAAGTAGAAGCAGGGACACCGGCACACCTGTATAAGCGTGAAGATAAAGTCTTATTTATTGAAGAAATACAACATATCACAAAGATGCGACGACCGTTTCAGGGTCACGCAGGATCCCCTTCCTCAAGCAATGGCAAACACAAACCAATATAAATAGCAAACACCCACAGAGCAAGAACCAATCAACCAGAATTCAATGACCCAGCGACGTCATGTATGGCATCACATTCGCGCCAGGACAGAGTTCAAAATGCAGTAGTAAACATTACAAAAGGTAAACACAGAAGTAAACACAGGCATGATCGGGAAACATCCACATGTGCTATAGCACATAGCACATTGCACATGTGGATGTTTCCCGATCATGCCTGTGTTTACTTCTGTGTTTACCTTTTGTAATGTTTACTACTTCATTTTGAACTCTGTCCTGGCGGGAATGTGACGTCATACATGACGTCACTGGGTCATTGGATTCTTGTTGATTGGTTCTTGCTCTGTGGGTGTTTGCTATTTATATTGGTTTGTGTTTGTACTTTTGCCACATGTCATTGCTTGAGGAAGGGGATCAATCAATCACCGTCAATCACCGCAGCACCCGTCTGATTTTCTTTGGAGACAAGCGGTTAGGAGTGCGATGGGTTCATGAACCCGTGCACATATGGAGACGCAGCTTATGAACACACACTAGGATGGCTTCATAGAAACCTGCAAGGGAAAGGAGCGACCCTAAAACAGGGCACCAGGACCAGTGCTCAGGTGACCAGCTGATTCTACAGGTAACTAAGACTTTTAAACATCAAGGAGCAGCATCCATTGTAAGTGGTTTAATCAGCATTTAAAATAGCTTACAAAAACTTTTGACATCAATATTACTAAGGAACTATGGCCTACCCTAAAAAAAAAGCTGCTGCACTTGATTTTAGCCGCATCTGCACTTACAGTTATCTCAGTTCCTCTACAAAGCCACACAAATACCTGAAAAGCCTGCCAGTGAAGTCTAGAGGACATTGGGAGCACCACAACTTCTCTTCGAGGACACCTGCATTGCAAGATGGGATTTACAGGAGGGCAGGGGAACATTATCAGTAATTTGGGGAGCTTGCTGTTGCATGGCGGTTTCCAACCAAACGGTACAAAGTTTTATGCAGCACTGGGCATGCTCTGATCACAGGATCGAGAGAGAGAGAGAGAGAGAGAGAGAGAGAGAGAGAGATCGAAGGTGGAAAAACAAATGTTTCAGATTGATCTTCCCCACAAGGGTGATTAGTCAGTGATGTCCACTGTGCCCTTAGGTGTGAGCCCTTCATCTGATCTAGCGATAATGTGCCAAACCTTATACCAAATGTTCTAATTAGGCAACACAACAAACAATTCAGTTTTTAAATAATAAAAAACATAAGTAGTAAAAGAAAATAAAAACAAGGAAAAACTAGAAGCCACTATTAAATTTTACAACAGAAATTACCTGATACCAATGAAGATTATATAAAACCCTAGATTAGAAATGAGGAAGAGAAAATGCCAGTACTGGCCACAATAGCTAAAAAGTGGATAGATTTCCTATCAGTGATATCATGATAGAAGATGGATCTATTCATCCTCACAACTACAGATGTAAGTATGAATCTGCTGTATCTTTTTGCTTCCAGGTAACTTTTGCTATGCAAAAACAGTAATAGAACCACTTCCTTTTCTGCAGGGAAAACAGACTGATCATCAATGAATCGTACATTTTCCAGCAGGCTGTATGGTCTCTGGTATGCGTGGCAAGCTCTTTGGTTGCTCTTTGGTTGCACTTTGTCACTAGTTCTTATTTTCTACTAGCTGATTATTACCAGTAATCATCAGTTTTATATGGTCTGCCTAAGCCCCTGGTGCACAGAAGAGGTAAAGCTTGCCTGTTGAATTCAAATATGGAAATCCTTAAAATGCATGGGTCTACTGCATGTGGACTGCCTTGGTACTCAGTGCACCAGATCAGATTTTTATTTGCACCAGTCTAGCCACATATTGAGAGGACAATGATGAATGCCCTGCTGTTTCACAACTAAAGATTACTGCACATTTGAACCACAGAGATAAAAAAGAAAGATATAAAAAGCTTAATACAAATCCACAAAATACACATTTCACCAGTAGACAAAAAATTCTATGATGCTTTGTTAGGAATTTCACATACATATTAGGAATCACCAGAAGATGAGCTTATAATTTCTTCCATACAATACTGTATATCTGCCTATGCTATAAAGCAGGTTAAAAAATGTATGTATGTTCCTTGTGACACTTTCTCTTTAAAATATTTGCAATTACTGGCAATGTTAATTTACACACCTTTATGTGAGATTACTTGAAAAACCCACAGAGATAAAATGATAGCTGGTTTTGCTGCTTAATACTGTGTACAAACTGACAATTTAGCCTATATATGAAAGTGCATATAAAGTATATGCACAAAGTATTTAGGTGAGAAATTTCAGTCATTAAATATAGTCTTACCATAGAAGAGCACATTGCCTGTATCCCTGCAGGTATGCTTACTGCTGAAGGTCCTTTTGGCAGTGTCATAGTTTTTAGATCTCCAGGCAGCTGCTACACAATCTAGCCCTTGCTTTCTACCTTTGACCCATTATAATGTGAGGAGGGGAGGGGGGCACCAGCACATGTACTTCCTAAAGGTCTAAGGTTCTCAAACAGAGAGTTCAGCTGCAGACGTCGAGCGCAAACAATCTATACATCAAGACCACTGGAAGGTGTGCTGATTTTTTCTACAGAAGTTTTTGTGCAATTTGTGTATCGAGGTATGACTAATGAAGATCAGTATAGACTCTATATAGGCGTTCTCTAGAAGACCTCCACACTGCATTGAGCTGATAACTTTTAGAATAAAATGGGAAAATATTAATATTTTCATGACATCACTGGATCCTAGGCCTATTGCAGAATATAATGGCATAACAATCCTTTGAAGACAATCCATGTCAGATAGTAAATAGATATCTTTAGAGTTTGTTGTGGAGGTCTAGAATGCAAGCATAAAAATGCAATGAAAGTCAGAAGAATGGGTTTCTGTCATTGCCAGTGGGGTGTTTTTCCAAATCCCATTCCTCCCACATCTTATTGGCATAGGGTGGATCACCCTAAATTGAACTTGTGGGTAGGAGATAATTACAAAGCTTATAACAGCAGAAGGTAGCCAGCCAATTTAGCTATCAGCATGTATATGTCATTGCAAAAAAAAAATTCACCCCAAAACATCTCTTCAGCCTCCTGATCTCCTGATTTATAGGTATGTCCCTCGTGTGACAATGAACGGTAGCCAAAGCCAGGCATAAGAGACATGTCCTTTATAAGAGACACTGGGGACCTACCTACCTAACCTCTAAGCTACTTAGGAGTGGAGATACTACTAGAAGACTCCTGGTGTTGCTGTGGTTAGAGGTTCTTCAGAAGCAGGCATGTGCTGACAGCTACCTGCTATTCCTGTTTTTTTTTTTATTTTTCAAGTCAAAATGTGTTAGAGTGCAATCATACCACCAAATAAGCATGCCAGCAGAGCACTCTGAAAAAGTAACTATATACAGTGCCTTAACAGAAGACTTCTAACAGCCATGGGAAATAAAATGCTGACGTTCACATGGTGCTCTCACATGGGCTGGAAAGGTGCCAATACATCTGCCATTGCTCACAGCACACTTTTGAAACCTTTAGCAGCATATTTTAATTGTCAGACATGTCCCTGAAAGCTGCCGCCTGACGTGTGTGAGTGTTGCCATGGGTGTTAGAATATATATGGGATATATGTGTGTGGGAGGGAAGGGGGACTTAGAGACACCTACGAACTGAACCATGGCTACCACTCACTGCAACATAATGCAGGAAGTGTGGTAGACCATAGCCTTGCTATCACATTAATAAAATGTCATTATTAGGGTAAAGTAGATTGACCTCTGATCAGTTATAAGAGCAGGGGGTAAA